ATTAGATAGATAGATAGATAGATAGATAGATAGATAGATAGATAGATAGATAGATAGATAGATAGATAGATAGATAGATAGATAGATGATAATGATATAGATGGAGGATAGATAGATAGATAGATAGATAGATAGATAGATAGATAGATAGATAGATAGATAGATAGATAGATAGATAGATAGATAGATATAGACAGTAAGTATAAATAGATTAGATAGATAGATAGATAGATAGATAGATAGATAGATAGATATAGACAGTAAGTATAAATAGATTAGATGATAGATAGATAGATAGATAGATAGATATAGACAGTAAGTATAAATAGATTAGATGATAGATAGATAGATAGATAGATAGATAGATAGATAGATAGATAGATAGATAGATAGATAGATAGATAACATAGATATGGAAGAAGGAAGAGGGAGGGAAGGAAGGGAAGAGAAGAGAAAAAGGGAGGGAAGGAGAGAAGGGAGGAATGAAGGAGAGAGAAAGGGAGGGAGGGAGAGAAGAAGGGAGGAAAGAAGGAAGGAGAGAAAAGGAGGGAGGGAGGAAAGAAGGAAGGAATAGATAGTATTAGATGATAGAAGATGGATGGAAAGAAGGAAGGAATAGATAGATGATAGACAGATATTAGGTGATTAGTTAAAGCAATTTGATAGGTTAAAAAGGTAGACAGATAGGTAGAGTAGTAGATAGATAGAGAAGGTGATTGATAGATAAGGTGATTAGAGAGAGAGAGAGATAAGATGATTAGATAGATAGCTGGATAGACAGACAGCTGGATAGATTCCTAGCTGGCTGGCTAGATAGATGACTAGATTGATGGATGATGGAGGATGTACAGACAGATAGTTGGACAACTGGCTGGCAGACTGAATGGATGGACGATAAATACTGATAAGGACGCTGGATGGCATAATGGTAGAAAGAGGCATTAAAGGAAGGGGCAGAATTTTGCTGTTAACAGGGGTTGTCAGAAGTTTGTTTTAAACTTTTAAGCGTATTCCAAGACTTAAACAACATTTTTAATCGCGGTCCACTGAACGTTTGGGTGGAATGATTTGAGCTGGAGGAGGCCACAGAAGTGATTTTGGAGACGGCACGTAGACTGCAGATTGCCCGCTGGTGGATTAAATAAAGGATCTGCTATCGGTATTTGTTTCAGCGCAAAATGAAGTGAGGTCACCGAAAGAACGCAAAAGGCTTTGCTCCAAACTGGCTTTTGTGTGTGTGTGCGTGCGTGCCTGTGTGTGTGTGTAATTGTGCACCTATTTGCATTTCAAATATGAAATATTCCACTTTCATCATTTCCTGAAAAAGCGCTTGAAGCTTGAAACAAACAGGCTGGGCTTTTGTTTTTTGTTTTTTTTTTGTGCTCAAAGTAGGACATTCCCCCAAAATGTTGTACGCCCGACACGATTCCGAACGAAACGCTGTGCAGGGTCCCAAAAAAGGGCATAACCTTTCCTTTCCTTTTCCCCCTCTCCTTAGCCGATAACGCGGGCGAAGAAACACTTCAACAAGCTGCATATTCCCAAAGCCCTCCAGAAAGCCTTGCCGTTTAAGAATAAGCCCAAGTTCCAAGAAAGGAAAAAGAAAGTCACCAAGGACAAGTGGAGACCGGCTGTCATCAGGGAGCCGCACGAAAGAAAGGTGAGAGGTTTTTTAGGGCCTTCGTTAGCAGCTCTCCTCCACCTCTTGTAAATTCCACCCAGAATAGTTGTTAAGCATCACACTGGAGGTTCAGCCATCAGACAGAGGAGGAACAAGAAGTTTGTGGCCTCTTGTCTGTGGAGGTTCTCCGTCATCCCAGGTCCTGGTTGTCCCAAAGGTGCTTTTTTCAGGAGACAGCTGGACTTCCTTGTTATAATAATAATAATAATAATAACAATAATAATAATAATAATAATAATAATAATAATAATAATAATAATAATTAATAATAATAATAATAATAATAATAATAATAATAATAATAATAATAATAATAATAATAGTAGTAGTAAAGTTGGAAGGGACCTTGGAGGTCATCGAGTTCTACTCTAGTTATAAACTCTGCCCTAGCCTGTAATGTTTTTCTAAAATCCAGGGCAATTTGCCCCAGGTACCCTGGCCAGCTCTGATGAACTCTTTATCGGTGTCTACAGGTAGTAAATACAGCGACAAGATTTATTGCTTTGAGTAAGGTTAGATTAAGTGACTTTGATTGCAGACAATGGATAGGCAATTAAATGCAGAGTTAGCAGCCCTTGTTCGCGTTACCTTTTAATAGTTTCCTGATCCAAGGATCAGGAAAAAAAAAAAGAGTATTTAACACCTGAGTTAATCATAGCAATTACTTTGGTGGGTTGGGTACAATAAAAGCAATCAAGCCAGGCTTTCCGAGACCTTGATAAGAAGTAAGAAGCCTCTTTGCTCATTGCTAGTTGCTAACCAAGTTCATAATTCCTACAATTTAAGACCCAGCATGTCATTGTGTCGTGCTTGGACCCTTTTTGAGCTGCGTTTCAAACTTGGGTTGATCAACTTTCTTTTTTCTTTTAAAAAAAAAAATTATTTTATTTGTTTTTATGTTTACAATTTGTTAGTGCTTACTAAACAACGTGTTGTCTGGTAATAATAATAATAATAAAAATAATAATGATACAGTTGGAAGGGACCTTGGAGGTCATCTAGTCCAACCTCCTGCTCAGGCAGGAAACCCTATACCATTTCAGACAAATGGCTGTCCAGTCTCTCTTCTTAAAAACTTCCAGTGTTGGAACATTCACCGCTTCTGGTGGCAGGTTGTTCCACTGGTTAATTGTTCTCACTGTCAGGAAGTTTCTCCTTAGTTCTAGGTTGCTCCTTAATAATGCATATTAAATTTCTCATCTCTACCCCATCTTTTCCAGCCACTGGAAAAATACATCCCATGTTTGGAAGTATTCTGTATCCCTTTTCCTTTCATTTTCAAAGTAAGCCTATCCATTTCCACGCAGTCCAAAATTTCCTTAATTATCTCTTCTTTAGCTGGCATGTCTTCATTTTTCCAGTGCTGTGCAAATACAATTCTCGCTGCTGTTAATACACACATTTTTTTTTTCTCATGTTTTTTTCTGAGATTATACCTAAAAGAAATAGTTCCGGCTTAAAATCTGCGTGTTTTCTTAACATTTTCTCTTAACCACCTATGTATTTTTGACCCATTTTCTTGTTTTGTTTTGGAGCATGTCCACCAAAGCTGATAATACATGCCTGGTTTTTGCCTACATTTCCAACAATTGCTGGACATATTTTTAAACATTTTTTGCTAGCCTCACCGGTGGTAAGGGCCACCTATAAAACATTTTACATACATTATCTTTACAAGCAGTTGCCGCTGTTATTTTATCGTTTCTTTCCCAAAGATTTTGCCATCTTTCCAACTCTATATTGTGCCCCAAATTTTTTTTGCCCGTGTTATCACGGTTTCTTTGACCTGTTCTTCTTCCACCTTTCAACTTAACCAAACACTTATACAGTTTCTTAATTAATTTGGGTCCTTCTTATGTTAAGGTCGCCGCGCTTCTCTCGGCCCTGGGCACGGTACACAACTACAAGTTGCGGAAAGATAAGGCACAGCACCGCCAGCAGGTTAAACAGCACCAGAAGGTGAAAGAGAAAGAGGAAGAAGCAAAGTTGAAGAGGCAGAAGGAAGCCAAGAAGAAGCTTTTCCGTATTATTGGACAGAGGGAGAAGAAGAAGCAAAAATCCAGCCTGAAGGGCCGGGCCGAAAAAGAGTAAGCAGCTTAAAAATGAGAAACAGTTGGCAGTCTTCCACACGAGCATCCAAAACAACCAAACCAGTTCTGGATTGGAGATTTACATTCTGGAAAACGTGACGGAACACTGCCATTGGGTTCTAGATCAGTCTAGTCTGGAGAAGGCATGGACCCCTCGGAGAAGATTCTGTAATGTTCTGTTAACGGCGCGAGGGAATTTTTTTCCCCACGATCTGCCAATGCCTTTCTAAGCACCTGTCAGTAAAAACTGAGATGCTGGATCCTTGAGTTGACCGATGAACAAAGATCTAAAAAAATATTCCAGCTTGGTTTTCTGGATTTGAAGGGACCGTGCAGTTTGGGAAGGGCAATTTGACCGGAGCTGAAAAGAGCCATCCGGTGTAAATTGTCTTGGATAATGCCTGTTTCGCATCACGTTGAGATAATCGTAAATAATATTTTATATTTTAAGTTTGGAAAGTTGACTGAGTTGTGCTTTTTTGCGTGCAGCCCTAAAGGGTTTTATACTTGCTTCTGGTGAAGGCGAAATGATCTTAATGTGGTTGCCTGAAAGTTGAACCTGTGGGCAGATGAAAAGGTAAGTTCCATGGTAGAATCTGAAGCTGTAGAAATAAATATATATATATCATGAAAAGGTAAGTTCAACGGTAGAATCTGAAGCTGTAGAAATAAATATATATATCATGAAAAGGTAAGTTCAACGGTAGAATCTGAAGCTGTAGAAATAAATATATATATATCATGAAAAGGTAAGTTCAACGGTAGAATCTGAAGCTGTAGAAATAAATATATATATCTTGAAAAGGTAAGTTCAACGGTAGAATCTGAAGCTGTAGAAATAAATATATATATATCATGAAAAGGTAAGTTCAACGGTAGAATCTGAAGCTGTAGAAATAAATATATATATCTTGAAAAGGTAAGTTCAACGGTAGAATCTGAAGCTGTAGAAATAAATATATATATCATGAAAAGGTAAGTTCAACGGTAGAATCTGAAGCTGTAGAAATAAAGACCTGCAAATAAATACACACACCCCTGCGCTAGGCCTTAGCCCAGCTTAATTTTAGTTTAAAATGTACGAATCTAGCTATTTTTGGTTTATGAACTGTAGTTAGATCGTAACTTAAAGCATTACAAAAACCCACCGGCACCCTTTTCTTTTTTCTTTAGAAGATCACAGTCCCGTTGAGCTGAGGTAGTGCAGAA